ACAGCCCCTTGGAACAATCATCTGTACTGAGCTGCTAAACACTGCAGTGATATGGTGGAAGTGCTGATAATCAAAATAGAGATCCTAAATGTAGTTATTGTTCTTGTATATAAGTCACTGGAGGCAAATCCTAAGCAGTTTCAAGACAAACTAATGAAAATAGAACACTGCTTGGAAAACCTCACAAATCCAGCCCCAAACATCATCCTGCTTGGGGATCTCAACCTATGGCACCTGAAATGGAAGCACTTAGCTAGTACAGTTATATCAGAGAATATCAGGAAGTAGCCTAAATGAACAGGCACATGCAAATGACCTGCTACAGATGTGCGACAGATTTGCCTTAAACCAGCAAATAGTAGATCCAACTAGAAAGGAGAACACATTGGAACTCATTTTCACTAATAATGATGAATTGATCAGGAACATAATGATTACATACACCTGTTACTCAGATCACAACCTAATTGAAGTTCTGACAAGCATGGGGAGTAGACCTGCACATCCAGTCTCAAGTCACAGGGGAGGAGAATGTAGCAAATTCATCTTTAATAATAAACAGATTAACTGGGAGCAAATAAACCAAGACGTGACAGAAATAGGCTGGGAAGAACAACTAGAAAATGCCAACCTGAACCAGTGCCTGGAAAGAATAAACTCAGTAGCTCTAGAAATATGCTCAAACCGCATACCCCTACGAAAAAAAGAGGAAGAGGTGCAAACTGAAACGGGAACGGCGTTCCCTCTATAGGCGAAGAAAACTAAACGCAGAACAACTCGAGAGTCACATCCTAACTCAAGAACGATGAAGAAGGCTAGGTAAAGAAATAGAAATTAATGAACTAAAGTTAAAAGAATCATATAAAATTGAAGAGAGAAAAAGGCCATCAATGAAATAGAGGGAAATCTGAAATATTTTTTCTCCTATGCAAAATCAAGATCAAAAACTACATCTAGTATCAGGCCCCTGCAAAGAGGAGATGGAACTTTCACAGATGACAACAAAGGATTGAGCGTAATACTAAGGAATCAATATGACTGTCTTCAGCGAGCCACAAAACACACTGAAGGTTGGTAATCCAAATGAATTTGTCATGGATGTGATACCAACATCAAATCATGTATCAGATGCCACCCTATCCCACTAGATTTTGAAGAAGCCATAGACAATATGCCTATGAACTCTGCACCAGGGCCAGATTCTTGGAACTCTATATTCATCAAGAACTGTAAAAAACCACTATCGCAGGGCCTTTACATTCTTTGGAGACAGAGCCTAGATACTGGCATTATCCTTGACATACTAGAAACAGCAGAGATAACATCACACATAAAAATCTTTGAGAGAGTCATCTAAGAAGTGCTAAGAAGAAAGATCACAAAATATATGGTATTCCAGCATCTCCATAACCCTGGACAACATGGCTTCAGAACAGGGCACTCTTGCCAATCACTGTTGCTGGACTACTATGACATGGCATTAGATGCCATGGAAGACAAATTTGTCAAGAAACAAGCAAAACTCTAATGTAATTTACACCGATTTTGCAAAAGCCTTCGAGAAATGTGACCATGGTGTTATTGCACACAAAATGCGTTCAAAAGGAATTACCGGAAAAATAAGCAGATGGGTCTACAATTTCCTGACTAAAAGAACTCAATGTGTAATCAAGAAAATAAAATCCAGTCCATCAACCGTGAAGAGCTGAGTCCCTCATGGTACTGTGCTTGGGGTACTCTTTCTCATCCTCATATTAGACATAGACAAGGACACAATCTATAGTAATGTGTCTTCCTTTGCAGATGACACTAGGATTTTTATGAGAGTAGATAACATAGAGGACACGGCTAACCTCCAATCAGATGTAAATCAGGTCTTTCTATGGGCTACAGAAAATAATATGGCATTTAATGAGATAAGTTCCAGCTCATGCGCTTCAGAAAAAAAATGGAAATATAAAAACGGAAACCACATGCAAAACGCAGTCAAATCATAACAGAACAAAAAGGCAATGTAAAGGACTTAGGTGTTCTCATGTTGGAAGACCTTACCTTTAAAGAAGATAATAAAGTAGCTATCACAACTGAAAGAAAAATGACAGGTTGGATAACAAGAACCTTTCACACTAGAGATGCTGTACTGATTATGATACTTTTTGAGACGCTAGTGCTCTCTAGAGTGGAATACTATTGCACAATGACAGCCCCTTTCAAAGCTGGAGAAATTGCTGACCTGGAGAGTGTGCAGAGATCCTTTACTGCTGGAATTCACGCAGTAGAATAAAGTATTATGATGGACTAAAATGCCAAAATCCGCATCTCTTGAGTTTGAGTATTCTATTGTGCAATGAGTTTCCTATTAAAACTCATTACAAAGTTTTAATAGGAAACATTGTCCCCCAAGCACTATTGCACAATTACTTGATACTATATGGATTGTGGAGAACTGTTTAGAATGATCTTTAACACTTGGCTATATTTGTCATGTCATGTCAAATACCTGCACGCCAAATGCTCAAAGATCCTTTCTTTATTGAGTGTTGTCACGTACCTCATGGGGTTGTGGATAGGGAAACACTCCTCCAGTTAAACTTGCCTCGTAGTACTTTCAGAGCTTAGTAAATTGGAATCTGGTAAGCAGAATCTCCATTATATTGACCTTTAAAGTTAATTCCTAATTGGGTTTAAAAGGTTATACCGAATGAGAAACTCAGATTAAATAGTGTAACACTAGAAATGTTGTTATTCAGTTTGGTTGCGTTAAGCACATACAAGGACTACACATTACCTGGCATTCCAAGATTTCTCTATACCGTACCTTATGCTATAAACTTTGCCACAACCCTGTGTTTTATTGATTTAAATGGCCACAGGATGCTATTAGTTATCCACTGTGCGGACAGGTGGGCTGACTCTGATGTTCGTTGACACCCGTATTGTGCTTCAATTTACTCGCGAGGAGATCACTGTCACTGAACTCGTCTGTAGGAAATATCTCTATTTATCTTGGATCATTCATAGTATAAGACTTGGGAGGGGGGGGGGGTAGGAGAGGGCTGTAGTGTTGTTTGTCGTGGCCGTCAGTTGTTCGTGGTATATTAGAGTCGAATTGGTTCTAGAAATATTTGTGTTGGCCAGTGTTGAACTATTTCGAAAGCAGCTATGTTTTTCTAAAGATGGGTGGGGGGTCTCTGTGCTTAGATACAGTAATCTAAGTGGATACTTAGATTATAAAGTAGAATAACTACCCTCTTTTCCTTAAAGTCAAAAGGTTGCTTGATTATTTCTAGGGTTTTGTTAGTATATTTGTTTTAACTGCAGCAACTTTTAGTGGATGACGGATTCTTACTAAAAGGTCCTTTATTTCAGCAATATGATTCATTGTAATGTTAATGTGGTAGGTGTGATAGGGATTGTTCTGGCACACATGCAAGGTCTTGCAATGTTTGGCAAAATCTCCTTAATGTAAAAGTCTTGTAACCATACCTTGAGGTGTTATGGAGGCTTAGCAGCCTGGTCGTCGACCAGGCCTCCTGGTTGCTGGGCTGGTCAAGTAGGCTATGGGATGCAGCTGCTCGCAGCCTGACATATGAATCACAGCCTGGTTGATCAGGTATCCTTTGGAGGTGCTTATCGAGTTCTTTCTTTAAACATTAGTGGAGTTTGTGTAGATCTTTGTAAAGCCTGGGTCATTTTTGTTACTTTTCTCTATACCATAAATCTTGGTGTTGTTTGTAATGATTTGTCATTGAAGTGTATGATACTGCAATTTCCAATCATTTATGTTTAGGGTGCTATGATTTGTTTGGTTTTATCCTTCGTACCAAGAATTGTATGTGGCTGTTATTGTCTTCTCGGTCTTTCATATGGTACGTTGTCAAAAGTTTTAGCAAAGTACATGTGTACTACATCTACTGGAAGTCCTTTATCTGAATAGCTGGTTGCCATATCCAAAAATATGTAAGTACTGTAGGTTCATTAGGCAGAGTTTGTTTATAACGAACCAATGAAGTTGATTTTGGAAGATTATTGAATGTGAAATTGTGAATGATTCCGTGTCAGGATTTTCTTCATGAACTTGTAGATGTGAGGTCAAGAGTAGTTTTCTGCTTAGTTCTTTCAAAAGTTTGGATAACATCTGTGAAGCTAAGAGGTTAAAGTGGCAATACATTTGGCTGGCAGTTCATTTAAGAGCTTTGGTTTAATTTGACACCTGGGGTTTTCCATGTTGGTTTGTAAGGCTCTTCCTGTTTATGGTACTTGTGTATATATCTGTCCTTAATTAGTTCTTATCAGCTTGAAACATTTGTGGTAATGGGATGTTGTCTGGTGTGAATAATGTAGTGTTCATTCAGGTTTGCTGTACTTATTGGCTATTAAAATTTGTCATCTCTAAAGGGTCCTACCGTATTCAATTTTGGTTTTATAGACTAGTGGAGATATATAAATTGGGGTTATGCCCTATCGAATTGTGGTAATAGATGTTCACTTTATAGGTACAGGTATTCAAATACAACATGGTCCCAGTAATGAGATTGATTATAATGGGCTAAGGTGTTTCATTTATGTATATAAAGATATGTAGAAACTGTTGCATAGATACTTTTGTAATACATAACATGTCTTAAGACACTCTTGCATGTTTAGCATAGTATACTTTGCACCTTTAATCATTCAATCTAGAAAATATTTAAAATTTGCATAGCCTTAAATCGAGTTTATTTGTTTTGGAAGTGTAAAGTTAGTTACTAACTAAAGTATCATATTTCAAAGCTTATTAAAATAGTTTGCCATTTCTTTAATAACTAGAGTACCATGTTATAAGCAGTTACTTCATATCTGTGCCAAATTTCTGATACTAATTTTTGTGTGCAAAATGCCAGTCACTAATTAACTTTAAAGTCTAGTAAATTTTTGGTAACTTTTACAGATGTCATTGTCAAAGACTTTAGTAGTAAGAAGAAGTTGCAATCATGATTGAATGCAATGCCTAACTTCAGGATAAAGTATAGAAATTTTCATTAGAACTTTTATTAATGTATATATAGTACAAGTGTCAGACCAGAGGTAGTATGGAAACAGGAAATTCCATAAGTATTTATATTTTAATAATACAATCTTCAGAAGAAAGGAAAATAACTACTCCTAAAGATGTATTATTAAAATACAAGAGTACTTTAGGAAATCTTGTTTTAGACCTTCCATGGTTTGACATCACATTAGTGACAGTATAATATCTAATTGTGACTATTTTCCAGGTTGTGGTGAACTGATGTTTCAAGATGCCATCACTGAAGACTATAAGGGCAGAGTAACAAGGACAGCCACCTGTAAAAAATAAAAATATTACTCAGGGACACTCATTTTATTACCACCTAAGCTTAATAGGTTACAGCAAAAATCCTAACTGCCTATCTTTTAAGATAGGCTCCAGCAGGCCTATCCCTGCTGTATATTTTAGTGCAGCACTTGTTGACTGAATTGGTAGATGCATCCAGACATTTAGTGCCTGGGCAATGTACAGGGCTCTTAACAGCCCTGACCATTTGCCCAGGCACTAAACCTCTGGACACATCCACCATATCAGTCAACAAGTACTGTAAATTAACAATGATTGTATCATTGTTAAACCCTACCTACATCCCTACCCAATGCACTTCTAGTCCATCCAATAGATGGGTACTAGAGCATAGCTCTGAAAAAGCCAGGTCAGGGAAATCTGCAAGACTGCCTGGTCCCCTTCTATGAATTGGGGTAGGATCAGTACAAACTGCATTATACCCTGCTGGTTGCTTTGAGCAACCTTGTAACAGTAGGACATGGTTACACATCTATAAATGGACTAGATCAAATAATTATTAACTTTAACTGATATAGCTAAAACATTAATGTCAGCTCACCACTATTTAGTACTGTAGTTCCTTTTGCAGAGTTGAACACTAAGCCAGTCACTCCTTTAGCACCTGGAACACAAGTTCAAATTAACTTTACATTAAATAATCTAACTGGAATATTTTGACAGATTCAGAGCCACATTACTTTTAATCTCACATAATCTGTTATCACTGAAATTTACTTTAATGTTAGCCTATAATCTAGAAACATTGCTAGTCAACTCAAAAAAGTTCACATTTCAGACAATTTTCATGAAACTTGCACATAAGGGTGCTCAGCCACAGATGGCAGCACAGACTATTTTCTTGTTTATTTAATATGTTTAAAAATTAATTTTTGACTAACTTACAGGGGCATTAGGTTGGTGGTGTTAAAGTTGTTCAATGTCAACCAATATTATTTGACTAGTTGTATATGAAGTGCTGAAATTGTCAAATTTCAGTACTGCAGCATAAATAGAAAGACTTGTTTTTTCAACATTTTTATTTACACATTTTCAAGTCTAGAATTCAGACACATTACCATATAAAGGACCTTGTGATATAGAATTTCCTAATACAAATGTTCCAAGTTTATGCAAATATGGCATGTTTATTGCCATTATAAATTCAATAAATGAACTAGCAAATGTAGAGACATGCCCTCCACATATACTGTGTAAATTTCATGTAAATTGAATAAAAAATCAATCAGTTTTGTAAACATTTGTGTCAATTTAAAAACAAATAAAGTCTAAGGTTCTAAAATCTGTGGCCAAGGTTGACCAATTTTCTCCAAAATTGGCATCCTTACAGATAAGCTTACATACAGTCAGGTGTGTAAGTGATGCAAATCACCCTAAGAAAATTGAATAAAATATTTCTTAAAATTCCACTTTACCTAATTTGATATTTTAATATATGCTTGTGATAGCAGAGTCATACCTATGATTTCAGTTAACACTATAATCAATTTTGACCATTTTGGCATAATTTTCACAACTTCAATCTTTTTTTCTCCCTTCCTATTTATGCTACAATGATGAAACACTTATAGAACTTTTCAAAAAGGTTGAAGTCTTAGGAGTTTTCATTTATTGCATTTTTGGAACCTAATGCCCCCTTAATTTACACAAGTTACACCTTAAATGTAAAGTGTATGTCTAAACCCCTAGGTTTATTTATTGATTTTATAATGGCAATAAACATGACTGATTATTTGTATTAGGAAAACTATAGACTTTTGGAAACTAAGTTATGAACCTTTATTATATGCTAATGTATTGGAAAAGTCTTTCAATGATCTCCGAAAGGTTTATTTTTTCACTAAAATGTGAAAAATTTAACAAATCAATAATCTCCCTTTCTATTTACACTGCAGTGCTGAAACTAAACATTTTCAGCCATTCTCATATACAACTAGTCAAAAAATATTGTCAACATTGAACAGCTTTTCCAAAACCAAGACAATGCCAATTTTGCCCATCTACATTTAAGATTCATTTCAGATTATCTTCAGCCATAATACTATAGATTTGTAACCTAAATATTCTGCTTTAATACAACCAGATTCAAACTAAAAACGTCATTACCACTCACAATTCTCATTTTGAAGTACAAAAAACCTTCCACTCGAGGATGAAGTTACACTTCTGATTCCATATTCTGCAAAACAAATTACTTGTTAACGATCATTTCAATCACTAACTTTATAAAGGAAAAGTACCATCACTTTAGATTGAAAGCTGCTAACGAGGATTTTCATTCATGAACACCCTTTTAAATTACTGTATATAAACATGAAACCAATTTCTAGGATAATTAACAACCAAGCAGTTAAAGTTATTTCAAGAAGACAAAAATGCCCATAAAATTAACTTTTGCCCTTTAATTTTCACATCACAATCTTTACTTTGTCATGTCACTTACCAAAATGTTTCCAGGAACATCTTCATACTGAAGTTTCATTGTTGCAAGGACCTTCCATAACCTGTCGTCAGAACAAACCATTAATAAAGTTCTTTACATAGCAATTTTGTTTAACTACCAGTTTAACACTTCCCATAACTAATTTAAATTTAAAAAATTAGACAGCTAATGACATTAAGTATACATTTATGGTTTACATAAAACAATACAATTGGTTGTAAAGATATTTACCAACATTGATACAACAATTACATTCATGAAATTTCTTGTGGAATATTGCAAGAAACCCAACCTTCAGCAACATTTTTCCATAACTTATATCAATAAAAATTGATTTTTTTTTCAAATCTAAACCTTTGTCTGGCTTAGGAAGTTAATAACTTCCTAAGTGAGAAAAACATTAGATTTGAAGATATCACATTTATATAGGTTACAGAACATTTTCACCAAATTAATGCTTTCTTGCAATGTTCAACAAGAACATACCCGAACTATAATGGTACCGTTTTTTCAACATTGGCAAAAATATTTACAATATTTTTATTAGAATAAAATCTCGTGTAAACTATAAATGTATACTTTAAATGCCATTTGCTTTTGTCTATTTTAAATCATGTTCATGATTGTCAATCCCTGAACCACCATGTCAATATGCAATTTAGATTCTTAAAATAACCCATTGCACCAACTACCAATATCTTTTTTCCCAGAATACAGCCTGCCAATTCTTATCCAAGTACAAAATTGTGCTGGTGATCATGCTACAGTTAAGTAGCAGCCAGTTATTCTATATTAATCATACCTAATCTCCTAAAGTGGAAAAAGCCCTGCTTACCATTATAGAAGATTGAGCAGTGGAGTTGCCGAGTATCTGATGCACACTGCTGGCGATCATATTACATCCAATCAATGTTCTTTATATAACGGTAAACACTGTTCAACCACCTGTAATATAGTAATGCACTTAACAACCCTGTCAATCAACCACAAACTTTTTACCGTCTTATCACTGATGTAAGGTCAGTCCAATCTTCTACAACGTACAAAGTCAACCTTCATTAAACACCAAACATTTAACATTCAATATAAAACTTATTCTTTGCACAAGTAAACCAACCCATACTCAAGGCCAATGCCACTCATCCACAATGACATACAACTTAAGCCATCATTCCTGTATACAAATCCAACTGATGCTGGACAAACTAACTACTTGCCACCAAAGTTACTCCCCAGCCTGACTTCACAAACCAAACCCTTGCTCCTAACTAATTCTAGCCCATTTTAAACTTCTATTAGTACCTCACTAAACTTCCTCCACTAACACCGGAACTAATAGATTTGTTCCCATTTCCAGCCATATGTTAATAGCACCAGTCACTACTCCCGGATAATGAACCCTTAACCTCTTATATGAGGTGTTAAAATACCTCGCCTGGGACCCCCACAACCAACATTCACTCACGTACTTCACTTTCCGAGCACTTTAATACCATCGCGCCCTTCGTCGCCTAATTAGTATTAGTTGATAACCTACTCGTGCAAACCCCACTATACTAGGTACACAACTTACTGTTGCCAATGCCTAAAGTAGGGCCAATGACACATTTGTCATATTTGCGTTGGTTTATAGTCAAAAAATTATAGGTGTACACTAACAGCTGCCCCCCCAAGCTACGTAAACTTTGTACAAACCTTCCTACAACGCATTAGATTTGTTACCATTGATGTCGGACTAAATTACCAGTAGGTACTTAATGAGTAAAACTAACTACCTTTGCAGGCGATGAGTCACAATAACGTGGCTGAAGTATGTTGACCAGACCACACACTAGAAGTTAAAGTGACGACGACGTTTCGGTCCGTCCTGGACCATTCTCAAGTCGATTGTGAGACCATTGGACCATTCTCAAGCCAAATCAAGTCGATTTAACTACCTTTAAGTACAAACATTTTCTATAACAAAGTACTTCTAAACGTAAAACCTATGAAACAATCTCATCGAGACTAGTCAGTATTAGTCAAATTAACTTAATGTTTTACAATATTAAAACAAACTTCAATAAACATTCACCTAAACATTTACTCAACTTACACTTCAATGCAACAAGAATCGATTTTACCTCAATGGGTTGCAGCAAATAGTCCATCGCTCCACAGCACCACTCTCTGCGACTTACTAATCACAACTATGGTCAAGTGTCAACACGTGGCCACACATCACCTTGTTGGCCAGGAACAGAAAGACTGTCAACTGGCCGTGACAGCCACATATGTATGAGCCAGTAGGGCAAGTCAATTAGTAGTCTGCTGTCAATACATAGATGGCGCTGACAACATGACCAATACGCGTTCCTAAACAGCTAAAACGCTGATTTTGTTAATTACAGCTGACACAAAAAAACAATAACTGACGTTCAGAAGGCTGAAAGCACTAATATAAATAATTTTGATATATTTACAACCGAGAACTGTTTTATGTGCGGACAGCGTGAAATATCCACCAATAGTGTGCCAATGGAATTAGCAATATTTTGTTTATTTCTTGCTGATTTATGTATACAATAGTTCATACATTCTTGTACAAACACCAGCATGCATAGCGTTTCAGGCAGGTCCTTAGTGCTAATTGTCCCCGGAATACGACCCGCCAAATCGTTTAACAACTCATTGCTGGATGAACAGAGCCTACAGTTAAGGATTGGCACCCAGTCAATCTTCCCATAGGAACCCAGGCCAAAGCGCTCTCAAAACTCACTTTTGTATTATCACTTCGTCACGGAGACTCTTGCTGGGATATGGTTACTTATGGAAGATAGCTGCAGGTAATGATTAGTTATTCATCCAACTGTGAGTATTCCAATTGTAAACTTGCTCTGCACTGACTATGGACACACCAAGGCAGTCCAACATTATATTAGCAAATCAACTGAATTTACACGAGGGCCGCTAACTTATTGTCTATTGACTTATAGAGGCCAGTTATTGTACTCACCTAGTTGTGCTTGCGGGGGTTGAGCTTTAGGCTCTTTGGTCCCGCCTCTCAACTGTCAATCAACTGGTGTACACAGTTTCTCGAGCTCTATGATATCTACATTTGAAACTGTGTGGAGTCAGCCTCCACCACATCCCATCCTAGTGCATTCCATATACTAACTACTCTAACACTAAAAAAAAATTATTTCTAATGTCTCAGTGACTTATTTGGGTACTCAGCTTCTACCTGTCCCCTTGTGCATGTACCACCCGTGTTAAATAATTCATCCTTGTCTACCCTGTCAATTCCCCCTAATAATTTTGTATGTGGTGATCATGTCTCCCCCTTACTCTTCTGTCTTCCAGCGACGTCAGGTGCAGTTCACGCAGCCTTTCCTCGTAACTCATGCCTCTTAGTTCTGGGACTAGTCCGGTGGTGACATATACCTCTGAACTTTGTTCAGCTTCGCCTTGTGCTTGACAAGGTACGGGCTCCATGCTGGGGCTGTATACTCCAGGATTGGTCTTACATATGTGGTATACAGGGGTCTGGAGGATTAATCCTTACACAAGTTTCTGAAGGCAATTCTGACGTTAGCCAGCCTCGCATACCCCGCCGATGTTATTATTTTGATGTAGGCTTCAGGAGACAGGTTGTCTAATGGCCTCGATGAGGACAGGAAGCCGGTGGCTTGTCAAATGCCCCCCCCCCCCTTTTTCCTAATGTCCGAATGCATAGTTATCAATGATCTTAGATCAAATGGCACGAGATGCTATAAGCTCTGTTACTACTTCATTCACTAACATATATTGGACCACATTGTAGTGTTCTACTTGACGTTTGTTAGTGCTGACTATTACCCTACTCATATACCATGTATTTCCGTGATTCCATGTATGACTAACCATCCTGTGAGCTGGGCATATCAGATGAACTTTTAGCTACCTCTTTAACCACTCACTCACTCACACAACCACTACCACTCCGTAACCACTCACCAAGATTGTGGTAGTCTATATAAGTTGGTTAAAAATGAATTATTCAGCGTTTTGGCTGTTTTGGGCCGCTAATTGGTCATGTTGTCAGCGCCATCTATGTTTTGACAGCAGACTACTAATTGACATGCCCTACTGGCTCATACATATGTGGCTGTCACGGCCAGTTGACAGTCTTTCTGTTCCTGGCCAACAAGGTGATGTGTGGCCACGTGTTGTGACACTTGGCTGTAGTGGTTTGTGAGCCGCAGAGAGTGGTGCTGTGGAGCGATGGATTAATAGCTGTATCGTGTTATCTGTAAGTTCAGTAAATGTTTTGGAGATTCTTTATTTATGCTGTATAGTTGTAATACTGTAAAAGTTAAAAGTACTATTAAGTATGATTTGGTGAAAAGGGGCGAGAATTGGTAGTTTTAATCTTGGAAATACTGTACTGCTAAAAATGCTTATTCAGGTATGAGTACTTTCATAATGAGAACATAATATTGAAATTTTAGAGCTAGTACATGCCATATACCCTAGTTACTGTTTCAACCAATGACAAATGGTTTGTATTTAAATCTATAGTCTCTATTGCTAGAGGGAAATGGATCAATTAGTTTTTTATATTTAATCGGTTGGTTTTAGTATTGAGGCGGGTATTTCCCAGATTCAATGTATGACTAGTACAGTTCTCTTAAAATGACGTTCCTAGTTTCATACTAAAAGTGCTTTTGACTGGGTCCGTCCCAATCTCTCATAAAAAAATGGTGGGTCAAAAGTGAAATTGCGGGTAAAATTACTTTTAGACTTGTCTAAAGTATTTGGACAAATTCTAAGTTGACAGATTAATTTGTAAAAGAGCCTGGGATTAGAAAAGTTAACTTTCTAGGCGACGTGGTACTATATCCTTAAGTTAATTCCTTGCAGGAATTTTTCTTTGAATAGCACATAGCATTAATTTTTTAATCTTGTAATGTAGGGCACTTGCTTTTTAAACTATTAACTTGGGTATTTGTATAAAGTTTCTTTACTTCTTTAAATCTTAAGTTTGCTTAACTTTTAACATTAATCTATTTATAAATTGCTTTTTCATAAATCATAGTACCTGTACTTAAAGGGTTGGGTGAAAAGTAATGTTCATAATGTAAAGTAAAACTACAGTAAATGGTTCTAAATATACCACAATACAGTACTTTGTTTCCTACAATAAAGTGCAACATATTGACTGGCAGATGTAATTAAAGTATGAAATTTAAGTTTTTAAAATTTATTCCAAGATTCTAGAAATAAAGTTGGAAGATTTTGCTTAAATTACAGAATATTGAGTGATGGTAAACTATAATGTGAATAGTTATATAAAGTGTACCGTAACTGGTAAAGATAATTTTATGATTATCTATACAGTATCATGGGCAGATACTCTACAATGCTGCTTAAATATACAGTAGATATTAATGTAAATGTTTGTAACTGCCAAGTTATTGTAGTTGTGGACCAGAATCTTTCAATGCAATTAAATTTTGAAATGACTAGTAAAAAAGTTTTTTACTAGATTAGTATTGCTTAAATATTTGAAATTCTACTAGAATGTAGCTTAAATATTTTAAATGCATCTTGTTTTCTAAATTAAACGGTTCACTAAACTTGTAAAGTACTGTACACCAACTTTTTAAATGTTTTTAAATGTTCCTAACTTTGCCAAAGTTATTAATTTGGCTTTTTTTTTTTCAGGTGCCAATGAAGATTACATCAAAGCATGCCTAAAGTCTTATACTCTGCCAAATTCAACTGAACTTTGAGCTGAATTGAATGTTTTAACTGCATCAAATGTAAAATTTTAAAGACTTGACTCCTACTGTTACAGGGTTCCACTGAATTAATGCTGTTTAAAATCCTACCACATGGAGGAAGGGGACCAGGCACTCCTTCAGCTTTCCTGACAAGAGCTCTGCTGTAGTACCTGTCTAATAGATGGACTCAAAGTACATAGGTTTAAGAAAATTGGTAGCTTTAACAATGATTAAATTCATGGGGCTCGTTCAAAATGGATGCAACCAGAATATTGGTGCTTAGAATGTGATGTACAGGGCTTTATGTGAAGTATATGTAAAACGTTCTTACCACTAAATTGATGAATGTTATGCACTTTCAGCCAACAAGATCTGCATGAAATTCAGTAAGGGGTAGTAGAGCCTGTCGGTGAGAATAGATTAGGCATTAGTCCCCATCTTATACTTGCCGATAATCCTTGGTACTCGGTATTTTACCGCTACCGCTTTCATCTTCAGTGATGGCATCCATAAACATAAGTTTACCACAACTTTAACTTCTGTAGTGTAATTACTACAGATCACTGTATAAACATATTTTAATAAATTTGTTAATGGAAACTACTTTATATACCTGGTTAATCCTGTAACTAGGAAAGGTAAAATATTTAGGAATTGCTGCTACTAATTCGGTCATGTCTCCAGATGTCATTGTCGAACACTATTAAATTTATTTCATTGGGAGGGGGGGGGGGGGGGGGGGGGGGGGGGGGGTATAAATTCTAATTTAAAAAAGTACTTTGAAATAATTTTAGGGTATTGGGACACTGCCTAATGGGCTAGGTTGTTTACTAACTTCCTATGGTCTAAAAGTATGGCCATACTGTTAGACCATGTCTGTTTTGCCATGTTGTACTTGCTGTGTTTCACTAGGTGAAGGGTTGTTCCCTCTAAGATTTTAGACCTGGCCTATTATACCACTATTTCATTGAATCTAGTACATACTAGAAATCATAATTTATCTTTTAAAGAATCTTATTTAATTTTAAGCTGCATTTAGTATGAACCTGGAGAGTAAGATACTCGCTCCAACCTCACATTACCTTGACTCTTTAGTAATAATTGGGAGCTATATTTTCCCTAATTACAGGTAACATTTCTCCCATCCTATGAGAGGAAGATAAGGTAGTCCAATAATACAGTAAGCATTAGAGAACCCCATAGCAAATGGTACAATCTCTAGTGATTCGGTTAACTTTGGTATAGATGCTAGTTACACCTCTTCACTCAAATGTAGCACTTGGCATGTAGAATTCTAATCGACCCAAAGAGGCTAAAACCTTGACAGAGCAGACTAAGACTGCATCGAACTACAATGCTCTCGTTCCCCATAGTTTAGAAACTAGAGATGCCCCATCGAGCTGCCACGCTCTCCTGCATGGCTCTGCTCTAAGTTCTCAATGTCTGACACTGCCAACAAAATAAATGAAACTCTCTAAACTGTCTACCAAACATAATTGTACGTGACAAACCCATCCCTGCCTTTGTGGCGGTGCACAATAGAAAATTTACATTTGTACATTAAAACGGTGGTTACAATCTGTGCTACAGCTTAGACCAATAGTCTTTTGTATGACCCTCTTTCCTGTGTAACAATACCAGCATTATCCTTGTTTTAAGACTAGCCAGTAATTGGAAGATTTAAATTAAAATGTGATAACACTTGCCTAAATGTTAACAGTAATAACTCACCTTGTGGTCTGTGCCATCCTGTGCTGTCCCACAAGGTCACCATGTCTGCTGTGCTCAGTCCCACAAGGGCTCCGTGCTATCCTCTATGCTTGGTCTCAAGGTCTCAATAAATTGATTGCTTTGGTAATTTTTCACATTACCCTGCCAGTGTCTAAAGCTAGACACAATTATTAATGGCAAGTTCATTTCAAGTTGGCCTCTAAAGGCATGATAGCTGAGTTGGCCAAAGAATCTGCCTTTAAAGGAGAAATTGAGTATAAACTTGGATTGTCAATAAGCAGAGCAATAGTACACTAAGAACTTCAACAAAATCTTGTAGATCAAAGTGAAAGACACCAGTAATTTCATCTATCATACTAGTACTATTGTGCAAGAGGAGCCACATCTCTGGATCATTCAACAAAATCAGCACACTTCTAGGCTTGCTGTTTTGGGAATTTTCGTTATCTGCCAATGTAAACTGCGTCAACAAAATTATTCGCACACCCTGTCACTGATGGAGTGCAAAAAGACACGAGAATTCGGAGATGATTCTATTAAAAATGTTCCAAAAGATTTGTAAATATTTCATTCAAAATGATCTGCTACCAGATATCTTTTACTACCTACAGTTAGCCAAATATTCAGTTTGCTAAGTGATTACATGGAAAATACTAGAGGGCTGTTTAGTTTAGTTCTTATGCACCCCATACTCATCTTGTGGGCAGCAATGGAAAGACATCTTTGGAACATTTATAGAATTTTCAGAATTCGCATTGTCATTTTGCACTCCATCACATTGTGACACGGTTTACATCAGCAGATACAGTAATGAGAATTCCCAGAGATTTATAACAGTCTAAGCCAAGCAGTAGTAACATTCATATAGACATTTCCATAAGAAATGTAAATTGAATTAATCCATTCTACACATGCAAAAATGATTCACGATTCCAACTGACTAATCTGCCAATATTTCATTCATTTTAAAGTATCAAATTCATAGTATAGCAATTTGCAATCTTCCAATTTGACTTCTCCCTACTCTAATGGTGTAGGAGTATAAATAATGTGGATGTCATCGATGATGAATTTTCCAACCGATATGAAGTCATGGTTGTAATACTTCTAAGACTGATACTGGTTGTTTTGGGGCTCCCTTTGTAGTCAGTACATTTATTTATGATAGGGCTACAATATCCAAGAGTGGCATTGGTTCAAAGTTTAAGTTTATTTGGCAATTCTTTTGGACATTGTGGCCACTGGCCAACAGGTTAGGGTAAGGTAAGTAAAAAATGTGAATGCATTTTATTATTAATTGTAATGACATGTCCATAATGAGTGCATAAGACTTAGCACATGTACTGTATATGGAAGATTGCTTCAAACAAATCACATTCAACTACATTTATGTATCACCAAACATACAAATAATAAAAAATTCATTTGTTGACTCACGCTTTCATAATTCTCCAGAAAATACATCAGAACGTATTAGTGACCTTTCCACTTTCAGAAATGTCTCATAGAAGTAGGTAAATCTAACCCAAACAGCAGTAATCAAATATTTCAGGACAAGTATTGTTTGTAGTAACCTAAAAGGCTAAATGTTAACTAAAAATTTGCCATGACATACAATTTCCTACAAAAAATATTGAACATGAATTAATGATATACATCACTGGAAGACTTTCCCCAATAAACACCAAAATATTGAAATTACCATATACTGTACAACTAAGTAGTTGGCAGACCATAAAATTAAATTAAGTGGCATTTTGTTTCAAATAATTCACTAAAACCATACAAAATTATAGCAAGTGTTGAATATGGAAGTACACGATGCATCCATCGTAGAAACATATAGGCACAACCATGAGAAATGTACTACAAAGTTCATACTCATGTCTGCTGACTATTTTTAGTCCATCAGTTGTCTCCCCAAAGAATTCTACACAGCAATGCCTTAGCAAAGCACTGCAAGAATTTAACCATTAAAAGCACTAGCAGTGATGTACAATCATTTCTAACCGTTGACAAGTGTCATCACTGGAAGACTAGCAAAGTTAGGAACAGTATATTGATAATTATGCCAAAAATCACTGAAGTTAAATTTATCCACTTAAATTAAGAGATTCATTATGAAATTAACAGAGATCCATCATTGAATTACTTGTTAACATTACTAGCCCAACACGGACATTGCAAAGACATGCTACGCAGTGGCTCCCAGAACTGAGGGCAAGAGCTACGAGGAAAGGTTAGAGGCATTAAATATGTCAAAACTAGTAGAAGAAAAGAGGAGATATGATCACTACATACAAAATAGTAACAGGAATTGATAGGGAAGATTTCCCGAGACCTGGAACTTCAAGAACAACAGGTCATAGATTTAAACTAACTAAACAAAGATGCCAAAGAAATATAAGACAATTCACTTTTGCAAACAGAGTGGTAGACGGTTGGAACAAGTTAGGCAAGATGATGATGGAGGCTAAAACTGTAAGTAGTTTCAAAGCGTTATATGACAGAGTGCCGAGAAGACGGGACACCACGGGCGTAGCTCTCATCCTGTAACTACACTTATGTAGTTACAGGTTTACACAACACAATGATTATGCACATTCTCAATACATACTGTGCTGGAATACAAGGAGCCATATTACTGATAATGTAATCAAGATTTAGAATAATCTTTCCTGTACAAGCAGGACTGGAGATCTTTGCATCCCTCCCACTATCCTTACATTTCATCTAAAAGATACTCCAGAAATTACATAAAATAAATATACAGTATCGGGTAATTATTAAAATATAAATATACCACGTACTGTATTTTTATATATTAATAAAATGTGTGATTTTTATTTAAATAAAACTTCAAAATAACAAAAATCGCGATCAGTTGTGTAAAACGTACGTTCATCCTGCCCTGGCAATAAGCTTCGAGGGAAAATAATTAAAACGTGAAAAAATTATCCTATTTAAAATGTAGCACCGTTGCTTTCAAAAAAGTATTCCAAATACCAACATATCTAAACAGTTTACACGAAACATAGCCGAGAAAAATTTATTTATATTTCTGCTATATTGTGGAAGCAATATAGCAAGTCCTATAAGTAAGAATGTCAAGGCACTACCTGACTTAAGACTTCATTCATCTATTCTTGTCTATAAAATAAAGAAAAAATATTAAATTCCCTGACAATTCAATATGAAACTGGATTTGTATTGTATGTTAACTATTGTCAAATGAAGATGCTTCAATTAGTGAAGTTGGAAATTCCAACCTTACCACTAAAGGGTAGTGTGATCTGCACACCCTAACACCCGTCCCTCCTACACACCCATGCACGCACACACACACACACACACACACACACACACACACAAATACATATTGAAAAGATAAATTGGACACTTTTTCCAAAAATATAGTCCACAAGGCAAACTTGCATAAGAGTAAGCTTAACTTGATATATACTTTGTACAATTACTGTTCAAATATACAAACAAAAAAGCTATTCAAGCCAAATAACTTACACAGGTTTTGTTTAAAACCTACACTGCTCATCACACAATATGGTGAGATGTAGTGAGTATTCAATATCACATTAAATCAGTCACAGTACACAGGAGGAATATTCACCAGCCACTAAATTGCCTTAGTCAAGCACAGACATATATATATATTATACATATACTGTACAGAAATATTTCACATTTCAAACTTGTTTAAAGACTTAGAATCATTGCTGTACAATGACCTAACTGGTGCATGCTTATATAAAATTCTGTGTACTTAAAAAATCCAAATTACCATACGAATATTTACACAAAATGGTTAAAAAGAATTATATCAAAATCTCTCAATTTGAGAGAACACTGCCTTATGCAATTTTTGTCCAATCACGATTGATCTATATCGACTCCTTTCCTGTTGCTTATATACAAGGCTAGTAAATTGCCTCTAAATAAATTTTTTACCACAACTTACATTACTAAAAATACCTAATTTGCAAAAGATGAATGCTACATCTTGTATACCGTGACCTCGGGTGGACTGGCACTAAGAAGGACAACACGAAAAACTGTGATCTGAAGATACACTCAGAATGACTGGCAAGTCCCACTCATCATCAAATACACTTGCATTACTTCAGCAGCTGCAAGGTGAATGTAACAACTGGTGACAGATACTTTTAAAAATGTGAAATGTTGAAATGGTATATATCATGATTGGTATTAAATTAATTTTATGTGGCCAATACCAGTGTTATTCTAGCACTGAATATATAAATAAAAAATCATCGGATATTGGTTAAAAAATATTTTCAGATGGTGACACACTAGTACATTATCAGAAAGTAACACGTGACCTTAATCAAGTCAAATGGCATTGCTTTTTCTAAATGCACTCCATCTGCTTTTCATATTCATATATACTTAATTCTAACAAATTATACAATTTCTCAAATTTAAAAAACAACTAATCAATGAGTAAGGTTATATATATTTTTTTCTAACCTCTTAAGAAAACCTTGCAATAACCATACCATCCACATGAATAAAGTTCCAAAAGCAATGACTCATTAATGTGCTTTAAGTTCATTAAAATTGCCTTATCTCCAATTAAATAAAGTTTATGTACCATAGTAATACCACTTCCTGAAGGTAGTATTACCAACTTTACTGAAGTTCACTAATCACATTCACAGTTGTCCAAGTTTCAAATCTCCAAAGTGCCATGGATTCAGGTTAAAAATAATCATACAAAAAACAGCACATACAAACTGACTATCATGAGGCTGTGTCTATATTAAGTGTTTCACTCTTAATGCATTTCTGATTGACAGAAGCCAGTATAGTCATTAACTAGGAGGTTCTCTGAGGGCTCTTGCTGCTCCATCTCCTTGGCCACGGCAATGGCCACTCGTAATGCCTCGGGACAACACCTTGCACGTTGCGTTCAAACCGTGCGAAGAGAGGATACCACCATAACCTCTCAAAGAAGTTGTTTGGACCACCTTCCTGCAAATTAAAAACCTTGAAAGTTACAAATACAAATGCAATTTTGTTATAATATACAATACTGACAGTGTACTTGCCTAATTGTGCTTGTGGGGGTTGAGCTCGGGCTCTTTGGTACCTGCCTGTCAACCGTCAATCAACTGATGTACAGATTCCCGAGCCTACTGGTTTCTATCATATCTATCTTGAGGTTATCTTGAGATGATTTCGGGGCTTTTAGTGTCCCCGCGGCCCGGTCCTCGACCAGGCCTCCACCCCCAGGAAACAGCCCGTGACAGCTGACTAACAACCAGGTACCTATTTTACTGCTAGATAACAGGGGCATAGGGTGAAAGAAACTCTGCCCATTGTTTCTCGCCGGCGCCTGGGATCAAACCCAGGACCACAGGATCACAAGTCCAGTGTGCTGTCCGCTCGGCCGACCGGCTCCCATTTGAAACTGTATGGCATCCAAATCTACATTTGAAACTGTGTATGGCATCAGCCTCCACCACATCACCTAGTGCATTCCATTTCCTAGTGTATTTGTGTGTTGGGGCTTGTCATAAAAATAAAAAATAAAATCTATATATGTACACCCAACAATTTTCTTTGCTAACCAACTTAATCATGTAGTTGGATGAATTGGAGTATTGAACAAGTTTGGAATTTATTAAATCTTCATATTTGTTTTCTAAAGAGACCAGGGGCTGTAGAATTTGCCCCAAAACAGACCAAAGGGGTTGAGTTTGTTCAAGACCAGTTATGGTGGCTTACAAATTTGATAAACAAAAATTAATTAAAACATTAATACACAAATTATGCCCAATAAGGAAAAAAAATTGCCTGTCAGCTGCCTGTCATTAAGATCACAATCAATTCTTTTTTTAACCTCTTGTAAATTAATTAAAATCCTTTTGGATTTAAATAGAGTCCAACAAATTATTCATTATAGGGAAGTAAAATGTGGAATACATGCAGTGACATTTACAATAATATTTTATAACCAAAGACTTAAGTATACAGTATTAGCAATATCGACATCTTACCTTGAGATTTGCATTATTGGCCATAGTGTGGTACATGTAAAATAGTCGAGTAGTGATGTAATAAGCTATAAGACAGTCAACAGTGTAGTGTCCCCGGGCCAGGAGCACCATTACCACGCCAGTCACTGCCAGAAGAGCAAAACACCAATGCAGCAACCACCACCGCCTTGGAGTATCTGATGGGGGAAAACGGGCACGTGTTGACACACATAAGGAGAACAGAACTATTAACCTACATGTGGTTAAATATTATTTCACTTATGAGAGTGTCTGATGATTACAGTTCACAGGAATGTTGACTGCCATGTAGTTTTGCAGATATAAAATGGCAAAACCTGATTTATATTTTGATATGAACTAAAGTTGGAAAGTTAACACCCTAGCATTCTTTATTTCTATGATAGAAATAAGTAAAGTTGAGATAATGTTTGCTCTACCAATTGACAGAGGTTTACCAAGCAATTATTTGAAAACAATTTCTTGCACCATTGGCAAACCCTTCTACAATCCAATTTATAACCCTTGAATTTTTTTCCTAACATTGCAGAGATATCATCTGTAATACAATGCTCCCTCCAAAATCTGAGCCTCCATATAATGGATACCTCTTAAACAATGAATCAAATCTGTCACCTAGATATAGCCAGGACTAGAGCCTTTCAAAAGTTTGGCACCAAAGTCAAGGGATACTACCTACTGGGGGCAACAAGAGAGGTCAAGTGCTGGCCAATGCTAGAATGGGTGCATCATCCCAAGCCTTGCTACCCTTTTCTAACAGGATTCCTACTGCACTGTACATTCTTCCACACCAGTGCAAAGATCTCTCTCTCCTTCTCGCCCCAGCCCAGACAACCAACCTCCGAGGGTGACACCTCTGGTGGGTGGTCTGATGACCTAAATGGGTACCCTGTATTTGTCTCCTTCACATGTACAATGCTCAGAGAGGGGCAGATGGGTTTAATGCAATCCCAACCAACCGCTAGAAAGGACACGAGAAGAATTTGCCTTTCCCACTATGCAGGATTTGAAGACAGTTGTTCCACTATGTTCCACTCCAAAGGATACCTGATCAACCAGGCTGTGACTCATACGTCAGGCTGCGAGCAGCCGCGTCCAACAGCCTGGTTGATCAGTCCAGCAACCAGGAGGCCTGGTCGACGACCGGGCCGCGGGGACACTAAGCCCCGGAAAACCCTCAAGGTAACCTCAAGGTATGTCCACATGCCCATGCCTTGGCACCTCATGCAAACAACCAGGAATATGGTTACAATCCCTGTAAAATCAGTGTTTACTCTTCTATTAAACTTTACCTTGTTGCATCCTTTCTTTTAGTAGGGCATAGCAAGAAACTTGTTTTACTAACAAAGTAGCTACTGTAATCCCTCATGACAATTCTATCAACAGCCAATCTGACAAAATGAAGCAAGATGTATGGAGCATATTGCCACTGCTCTGTAATGGCTCAAATGGCTGTGGTGTTTTACCACAAATCAAATTATTTCACAGATGCTCATTAATCAAACTGACACAGAATTGCCTAAAAAAGCAAACTAGCACATTCATAATGGGTGTATAAGAATGAAATAAGACTACTGCCAGTAGATAATTAATATCAACCCCCTAGAAGCATATTAACACCTAACTACTACCCATGATCATGTGACATTTCCAAGTTATTTACAGCACAGGATATGTACCCTCCTGATGCTACTGTTGCAGCCACTATTGCCAGGTGGCCAAAACCCATGCAATGAAACCGTGATTCCAAGGTCCAGTCAATTCTTAAAATCAACCACCTCAAAGCTTAATTCAGAGATCCAGCCTTTTCACCCATGACTTACTGACTAGTTCTTCCTTCTCTTCTACAGTCTGTTAACTAGCCATTTGTATATTTTACAACCTAGAACACAGACCATCAAATGATTTACCAGCAACTGGACAAAACTTTACTATGAAATGCAACGTGTCTTCATCTACACCCAAGTGATGTCACTGATGGCTCACTTTCACAAAATACAGTATTTTGAATTTTAACAGACAAGTTTAACTACCAACTCTGGGGTGGTAACCTAAGAAGTGTATATAGACACTGTCCAGATTATCAGTCGAGTTCTTCAAGGTACAAGGTACCTTGTACATAATTCTGAGAAAGACATCAGAAAATCTATTAATTTACAATTACAGTATTCACAAAGGAAGGAAGAAAACTTCTATTCTAAGTTCTATTGGAATAGTTGCGATAAGCATAGCAATGGAGAAGGTTCTCTCCCCACCTTCAAGTTGTGCATTGCTAGTGGAAAACAGGTTATATGTTCCCAGGAGGAATAATCATTTGCAAGGAGTTCATTGAAAGAACATGAATAATAATTCTTAATAAATAGAAAGGTTTTAAAAGTTTTTAAAAATATTAAATAACTAAAATATTTGTATAATTGAACACTTATTTAACATACAAGGCATGAAACAAATATTACAAATTATGTTAATTTCACAAAACCACACTACTAGCTCCTTAAAGTGTAATTTTGAACTTACATTCTCTTACTACAAGGTATGCCAAAACAAGGCAGACGGTGTGACCAGAATAAATATAATCCCCACAGAACGTATGTTGACCGTTGATTGACAAACCGAAGCCCGAGAGTAGCTGAATCATTCTTTTGGCTACCAATAATGGGCTGGTGTAATTAGCTTTTGGAGAGCAATAGTAGTTAGGGTTGGCAACAGGAAGAACCGTCACATACATTGTGATAGAACGGTAAAAATACAGCAAACCCATCATTAGGAAGATACGACGGAAGAGAATCCATCTGAAAATAAAAAATCCATTAACATCTTTTGCATATTTTTGCAATGTACAATACTGTGCAATCTCAGTAGAGAAAGCTAATTAGACTTCAACCTATCCAAATTTTAAAAAAGTTTTATACAGTATACTGTATTGATATCAAACATTAACTAAAGTATTGTTAATTTATATTAAACTATAACTAAAGTATGGTTTTTCTCTTCTATACATCTGGTTTTCTATTTCTGTAGATTTTTATTCTTTTAAGGTATATATGGTACCAATCTTAGTGTACTTTATCACAAATAACCTGTCTTCAGTGCTGTTATTTTGGCAATTTTATTTATAAGCAGCATAATGTGCCAGTATCAGTATAAAATAAACAGGCCCATAAATATGGGCCTGTTTCCATTCACCTGGGCTCTAGGAGACTCGAACCCTGGACCCCACGTGTGTGAGGCCGAAGCTCTATCGACCGAACTATTGAGTTGTCTTAAGTTTCCACAGAAGTGTGGATGACAATTTATATGGGCCTATTTATTTATACAAATAAAATAGGCCCATATTACAATTGCATGCATGCAGTATATCCAGAGAATGTGTATGCATGTACAGTACAATGCATAGAAAATTATCTAGCACTGTAAAAATAATAACAGAAGAGCAAAACATAGGGGTGCATGATACTGTGCTAGCTTTCCTGGTCTGTTCTTTACATTAACTTGCATAAACAATGCCAAAATCTTCATTGATGATACCTCTAGTTTTAAATACTGTAATATTATGAAATCAACTACACTTTAGTCATTTCTAATGTCAATTTCAGATACTGACCTGTGCTTGTGGAATAATACAACCATAACACACAAGTAAACGGAGATTATTATGATTATCTCGGAGACATTGAGGCCCCAATCTTGTGCAGTGATGGCATCTAGTGTAACATCTGGCAGGGGTGGAGAATTAGGCACTTTTTCATGTGTAAGTGCTAATGAAGCAGTAGTAAATATCCAGTTGGAACACAAGAACAGGAATGCTGAAAAATAAAAAAAAATGAGCTATAACACAATTTATATATAGTCACTAAAGTCGATATTCTCTCCATATTGAGCATAATTGGCCTGTGGAAGTTTTCCCATCCATCTTTGATGTACTATTTAGTAGTTTACTTTATACTAAATATGAAACTGCTACAAAAATCATGGGGGCAGAAGGCCCGGCAAGAGACTGGGCCGCGGGAACACTGATCCATGGAACCAACAGCACACAGGTATATACAGTATACCACAGCTTTTGGAAGGCTCATTTGACTACATACTAGTACAAAATAACATTGACAAAAGTGGGAATGTAAATAAAGCAGTCAAGTGGCATGAACTATAAAAAATACAATTTAGAAGCAACATCCATCCACAGCTTCAAGAGCAAATAGGACATTGAACAAAAAAGGTTTAAAAGCCCGAGTTCCAAATAAATGAAAGGCAAGACGGAGCTAAATTTCACTCCCTATAGGCTAAGCAAGTAAGTTCAGAGCTATAGTTCATAAAACAGATTTTGCAAGCAGTTCTTTTTCTTGGAATTTCTTTTATAAACTTTAAAAATGATGACTAGTGTAACTTATTGTTATTGCACAATTATTAAAATTTAAAGCAGTTATAAAACATTGCTTCAGCATTGACCACTAAAATATGTTTAAACCAGAAAAATATTCCTGGACATGGATGCTAGTGTAAATACTCACCCAGAAATGTTTTAAACTTCTCTTTTGGAAATCTTGGTTCTTCTCTGTGTGGTGCTGGAATTGGGATTTTCACCATCCCATTGCTAGCACTGCTGTCATAAAACCCACCACTCACTCCCTCTTTACTAACTCTGAAAAATACAAGAAACATTATTTGGAGGGAAATTATCTCTTGAAATTTGTTCTACTTCCATTCTCGGAGCAAGGTTACAAATGTGTGTATGCACCTAATTTGCTAAAGCTCGACTGTATCAAATGGTCAGAATCAAACACCAACCAAAGGAGAAACTAAAGCAGTAGCATTCCCATTCCCAGTGAAGACAATTCACTAGTAAACAAGCTTAGGCCCTATGGGGCAATGGTAGTATGCTCTCCCCTTGCCTTGCAAGAAGTTTTTGACAGTTTGATGGCTGTCTGGCCACCAATGCTTACCTGTCCACCCCTATTTCCCAAGCAGTAATTGGGGACAGTGTAGTAAATCAACTGGCAGGTCTTGGTCCATTGTAAACCAATACAGTAAGGCTTAGGATGAGCTATGTGAAGGGAAAGCTCCATGCCTGCCAAGACAGTCAGTTACCTAATATACCCAAATGTACACCAAGTTGAATCTCTTGCAAGAGGGGTGTGCAAATGTGTAAACTGATGCCACAAATATCTGGATGCTGACAAGAGCTCACAGCCTTCTCCGAGGCCAAAATCCCTAACCTGTGAGGCGAGGCCAAGCTATTAAAAGGGTTAAGTTCCCACCCATGCTGAATGCATTGGTGTCAGCTCTAATTCAACTGGTTAGAGCAATTGAAATCAGCTGCCCAGTTGAAACCTTTATTAATATCCGCTTGTAGTTTTTCAATGTCTTCAACAGAAGTAATTTTCATGCTGATTTGTGTCATCTGTAAAAGATGGTATGAATCTGTGACTTTTATTTTTGTCTATATCCAATATGAGAACAAGGAAAAGCAGTAGTGCAGGGACTGTGTGCCGAGGTACATAGCTTTTCACTATGCTTAGACTATTTTATTTGATTAACCGATACTGTGTGTTTTGTTTGACAGAAAATTTAATATCCATCATCTTATTTTACCTATAGATTCCTATTATCCTATATGCACAGGTGGTACGAAAGCAAAATGCATTGAAGCTGGGTTGGATTAACAATTAAGCAAAATAAAAACATGCTTAGGGTATCGAGAGGATGGAGATGGTGGTGGTGGTGGTGGGGGGGGGGGGGGGGGGGGGTGGAACCACAGTAAATTTCCATTGCCAGATTTACCATGGTTTACCATGGAGTATTTGGTGCAAAACTGCACATAGCGCTGCTGAACCAATTTTCGCAAAAAGAGCCTCCCACAAACAAAAAAATTATTCAGTAATAATTCAGAAGTCAAATTACTGTAAAATGATACTACAAGATTCATCGTGAGAGTAGAATTGGCACCATATCATGAGGCACTCATAAATTTATGCCAACCCCGACCTACCCACATTTAGCATGCACCCAACAGCAATTCCTGTTAAAAATCAGATGAATTTGCCTTGGCTGTCTGGCCTCCAACCTCAGACACGTTCTAATTAATAGATATAGATGATATACATGAAGATATGGTATTAATATAAAAGCAAATTTTTGAGAGCAAGAGATTTTAGACAGTACTGTACTCTAATGCAACTTCTTACCCATTTGTGTTAATATATGGATCATGAGTGGTCAAGAGAGGTTGCCGCTGATACACGTCGTGGGTCATATGACAGTGGTCAGACTCGTCCACCACACTGCTGGCACTGCTGCTAGTGCCACTCCTGCTGGTTCCACTCCTGCTGGTGGCACTCCTGCTGGTGCTGGCTGCACAGTGCTGAGTTTCTTCAGCTAGCCCACTGCTTTCTCCTACAGACCCATATCGGCCCCCTTCACTTCCTCCTCCCAACACCATTCTGAAATGGAGAATTAAATTATTAGTTACAAACTGGTTTAATACCTTAATGTATACAAGGGGCCTCGTAGCCTGGTGGATAGCGCGCAGGACTCGTAATTCTGTGGCGCGGGTTCAATTCCCGCACGAGGCAGAAACAATGGGCAAAGTTTCTTTCACCCTGAATGCCCCTGTTACCTAGCAGTAAATAGGTACCTGGGAGTTAGTCAGCTGTCACGGGCTGCTTCCTAGGGGTGGAGGCCTGGTCGAGGACCGGGCCGCGGTGACACTAAAAGCCCCGAAATCATCTCAAGATAACCTCAAGATACAAATTAATAATAATTTCTCAAATTTAATGAATAACTTATTTTAACAAAAATCTATACAAACCTCCGAGTTTCCAAAACAGGTGAAAAGTACCGTATTGTACTCTAACAACAAATTAGGTTTTAAATTGGTTTAGACAAGTAATCGAGTTTCAATACATAATGGTTCTAGGTTCAGCAAAAACAGGTTTTTACATACAACTAGAGTAAATATTAATCAATTAGTTTTTTCTTCAAATTGAAGTAGCCACACACAGCTTGCCCATGCACTCTGCACTAGACCCAGTCACCAATCGCACTGTCAGAAAATTATCATATCAATTACACGTGGTCAAGAAATTATCACGCCATATATGTATCTACAATACCTATCTTGTGTCTACCTTGTGGAGGTTCTGGGATCAAAGGCCCCGCAGCCCAGTCCCCGACTAGGCCTCCTGGTTGGTCGTCCGGTCAACTAGGCTGTTAGATGTGGCGAGTTACCTTGAAGTGTTTCCGGGGTTTAGTGTCCCCGCGGTCCGGTCGTCGACCAGGCCTCCTCGTTGCTGGACTGGTCAACCAGGCTGTTTGATGCAGCTGCTCACAGCCTGATGTATGAATCACAGGCTGGTTGATCAGGTATCTTTTGGAGGTGCTTATCCAGCTCTCTCTCGAACATTGTGAGGGGTCAGCCAGTTATGCCCCTTAAATGTAGTGGAAGCATGTTGAACAGTCTCGGGCCTCTGATGTTGATAGAGTTCTCTCTCAGAGTACCTGTTGTACCTCTGCTCTTCAACAGGGGTATTCTGCACATCCTGCCATGCCTTCTGGTCTCATGTGATGTTATTTCTGTGTGCAGGTTTGGGACCAGCCCCTTTAATATTTTCCACGTATAAATTATTATGTATCTCTCCCACCTGCACTCAAGAGAATACAGATGTGGCTAATGCTATCTTAAGCCTAATGTATAGTACAGTACATATGTACTATACTTGGCTTAGGAATACTTAAGTTTGGATTTTTGCTTCATTTTTCCCAGACAAATAAAAAGTGGCTTACTGGTGGACAATCACTACATAATGGTACTTTTGACCAATTAGTAAATATAGGTACCATCATTTGAGGAGGATGGGTTTTATTGAACTTCTTTGATAACATGATGGATCACAACACCTCAAGTTGTTGTTGCCCTGGGCAGCGAAGGCCGCCGCAACCAGTCCTCCTGATAGCACGTTGTATTTTTACCTATTTAGGCCAAAAACTATCATGCTAGAAAAATTATAGCGGCTCGTGAAATTGACAATGTCTCGTTTTCTGTTTGCAAGTCCATTAGTAGGTTAGCATAAGGTACTTTAGTACAACATACCTGGAGAGGGTATCGGGAGTTCTACTCCCCAAGCCCAGCCTGAAGCCAGGCTCGACTTGTAATAACTTGGTCCAACAGGCTGCCGCTTTGAGCAGCCTACAGGCCCACATTCACTACGGCCTGGTTGGTCCAGCACTTCTTGCAAGAACTTGTCTAAGTGCCTCTTTAATACATCCACCTTTGTTCCAGCACTAACTGGCAACATTTATAGTGCTTGCTGGGTGGGTGTTGAACAGCCATGGACCTCTGATGTTCGGACAGTGCTCTCGTGAAAAAAGAGATAAAGTGCCATTGACAAATCTCCCTCCCCCAGCCTGTTTAGATTGTCCGGCTAATTTTATCCTTCCTGTAGAAACTTACCAAGTTACCGCTTGAAAAACCTCTACTAGTGTTTCGGCAAAATTATATTTGGCTGGAGGAGGCTGAAGAGCCATGGTCCTTTGATGTTCATACCGTTTTCTGTGTCTATGGCACCTCTACTCCTTACTGTGTCTATCCTGCATTTCCTAATATATCTTTCACTTTGGTAAGTTATTTTACTGAGCATACTTGGAACCTGACTTTCCAGTATCTTTCATGTACATATCGGCAAGATCCTGTGGGGTCCGCATGAGTGGGAGAATCACCGTAGGTTTATTTCAACCCAGCCTCCTAAACTCATAGTACTTATAGCAACTATTCTACAGTATCAATATTACTGTTAGGCTCAAAGTTCATGTTTTGCACTATTCAATTTGTGGTGGTCGCAAAAAAATCGAACTTAAGCATTGTTAGGCCTATAACACATGTACTACATTAGGCCTAAGATAATATATATTAGGCCTTTGATTGCTTGGACAGGCTGGGTTTGGTTCTTTAGTAACATTTCCAATTTGCTGACTAATTTGGACTAATTCAATACCGGCAATACAAAATGTGGACTTTTTTTTTTTTTTGGGGGGGGGGGGGCCAACAGTACATATTGGTACTTTTGACTAAATATAGTTTCTGTAAGTACAGTACAGTACTATAATTTTTGGAGGATGGTCTGGGAGACAGAAAACTAGGTACAGGCAGGGTGCATGCAACCGTATACAATAAAAAAAAAAAAATCCTCTCCAATTTTGACGTATAAATCCCCCAAGGCTAAAAACATGTACAGTGAACAAAGACGTGATACTGTATCCCGTTTTCTATTAGTGGAGCCTCTTGTTAGGTTCAGCCAATTTAGTCCATCAGTTTAGTGAGGCTGTGAAGGCTGGAGGCCGGGCTGGTGTCACTGTGTACACCTCAGTATACAATATCAGTATTGTATATCCAAGATGTATATCTATTTAATCTTTTTGTAAATAACAATGCTAATTGGGTTTTTCTCTTTCAGGACAGCCTGAACCATGGAAATTATAAGCACAGGTTTTTCCATATACTTTATTAGACCTTTCTGAAGAAGTGTACAGGTACTCTTAGTTCATGTTAACGTCTCCGAGTCAAAAGACTTAGAAAATCAAGAGACCAGACTACAAAATAATGCAAGAGTAACTGAACTACAATAATAAAATATAAAAATCAATATATATAAAGTAAACATTCCACCAACTAGTTGGACGGTGGAATTCAATCCCAACAAGTGCAAAGTGATAAAGAAAGGGTGGGAGAACACACCAGACTGGTGGTGGTGCCCTCTGTCAATGAAAAAAGAGAGATCTAGGAGTGGAAATCATGCCAAGTTTGGGACAAGAAGTGAACCTAAGGTGATAAAGTCAATGTACTGGTGACCATAACAATGATAGAGCCAGCTATACACTTCCTTTATATATAGACTACCCAGAGAAATGCTGACAATTTTCGTAAATTGAAACTTTGTTCAATGATTGTAGCGTGTCAGGTTAGCGCGAGCCGGGCCCCGCCGAGTAGCGCGAGCCGGGCCCCGCCGAGTAGCGCGAGTCAGTGGTCGGGTGCTGGCGTGTAGTAATAAATGAGAGCAGTAAACACGAATGCTAACCACACACACACACACACACACACACACACACACACACACACACACACACACACACACACACATATAAGTTGACAAATGGAATGCATTAGGAAGTGATGTGGTGGAGGCTGACTCCATACACAGTTTCAAGTGTAGATATGATAAGAGCCCAATAGGCTCAGGAATCTGTACACCTGTTGATTGACGGTTGAGAGGCGGGACCAAAGAGCCAGAGCTCAACCCCCGCAAACACAACTAGGCGAGTACACACACACACACACACACATCCTTGGCGTCGCCAGCTGTGCTAACTCTCCCAACTTTCACCTCATCCAGCCAATCTGCAGCTTAAATACAATTCTACAACAACCGTCCCACACACGGGAGACATCTCCCGTCACGTAGGGTGCAGTCGCACCTCCACAGATCTCCAGTATCATTTATTGATACTGGTGATGGCTCAAAAGGGCCACCACTTACGGGCTATTCATGCCCGTGCCACCTTTTGGATGGCTTAATCTTCATCAATCAATCAATCAACCGTCCCACAGACCAGCAGCAGCACCCGCCCTTCACCATACATCTTCACTTTTAACAGTGGCATAAAACAATTTCATACATATATATGACACTTTATTACGTACTGTACACAGCCTCGCGTTAATCCTGCCACGTATGTGCTGTAGAACTTTAAGTTCGCTGAACTTTTTCTTATTCAATTTTAAACTAAAGTAACTGGGCAGAGATTCTAGCATCCTGAAATGCATTTTGGGCATATTATATCCTGAAAGGACCCATTTGTAAATTGTTCTGATGCTATTTGGGAAATTCGTAAGTGAATTTAGGCACCTTGATACCTAGTCTAAAGTAATTTACAAATTGTACAAGCTTGTATGGTTGTTAACTATAGCACTTAGGAAATACTGACCTTGGTAAGCTTAATTCTTAATGAAGGAAGTTTTTAAAACCTATCTTGAGAGTCCATCTTCGCACTCAATGCTATCTCATACCTAGTCTAATGTTCACACTTACACTTGAAATCCACTAACTAAATTATATCCTGTGCAGACGATGAGTTACTATAACGTGGCTGAAGATATGATATATTTTGCCTGAAGGGAATCACCTATCACCCATTTTACTCAGACATTCGCTTATCATTGGTCACTCGAAGTGTTCCAGAAATATCAACTTGTCAGAAACTACAATTTCAGAACGTGTGCTGTATATAATGATGAAGGAGGTCTACAACAGAGTAAGGATATTCCCATCTGAATATTTGGAATTTATGAATTATTGTCAAAGACATATCAACTTGACAAGAATTATGATTCAACTTTAAATCAGATCTAAGTTACATGAGCAGTGTTCAGCGTGGCTATGTTGATGTA